CAAACCTTAGTTGAAATTTTGTGCATTCATGATAGGTGTAATCTTTTATGATTACAAAGCAGTTTATATATATGTGTATATATATATATATATATATATATATATATATATATATATATATATATATATATATATATATATATATATGTATATATATATATTTATTTATAGAAGGGGAAGTTGATGGGGCTCCTGGGTTTTATTAATTGTTTGTCATGGCAGTAGATTTCATGGTACTAATTTTCAACTTACAATATTGAATAAATGAATGTTATGTTCCATTAGAAGACAAGGTCAGACTTATTGAACTTAGTGTTAGATGTCTGTTGCAGTAATGCTTCATGCCTGACTAATGAATCTAGCCACCTTGTTACACTCAAGATGTGCACCAAGGAGGAATTTAATTAATTTTGTCTACATGCTAAGGCAAAGCATTGCAGTATCTGAGTTCTTGGCAAGAAATTTACTCTCCAGTCTGACCACTGAGGTGTATAGTATTTTTAGGATTTTTGGCCGAAAGTCTAGGTTACCTATACTAATAACACTAATATTGGAGGATTGGTTTTGACAGCTGTTACTTATATAGAGTGTGTTTTTTATGCTTACCAGTCAATGTGAAAGCTGGTGTTATTATTTTTCCCTTCAGTTCATTATTGTTACTATGCTTATAATGTAGTCTTTTGTATTCCCCTACCACAAAAAATGGATGATTTTTCATGTTTCATTAGGGCAAATTTTGGTTGCAGGCATTTGAAGAGCTCAATTTTGCACATCAGAAAATGTATATTTCATTAGTATATCTCAAATAGCTACACAGAGTGTCTGTAGAGCACAAAGTTGGAAAAGTTCTCACAAGTACCCCATTTTATGAATGGCACTGGTGATAGATTAATACAAATTAAATGTGTGCAAAGCCATTTTTCATTAAATAAAACAGTAAGATACATATTTGGATGGGTATAAGGGTGCATCATAAGGATAGCTGATGGAAACTTGCCAAGCTTTACTAGATAATTTAGTGGATACTTCATGTCTTACCCATTATGTAAAAGTCATGGGAAAAAGTTCTTCCAGTTCATGACAGGCCTTCTGTGATCCTAGTAAATAGCACTGTGTGTACATTTTGTGATTAGCTATAATCTTTGCAAATAGGACTTTAGGAGTTGAAATTTACAAAATTTACACTATTGGATAAGCTATTCCATCACTCTGACATTAAATGCCTCTAACACTCAACAGGGACCAGAGAACAGGCGTTACATACCCCGAAGGGCTGTCCTCTATGTCCCCGGCAGTGATGAGAGAAAACTGAAGAAAATTCCAAGCCTTGGAGCTGACTGCATTGTCATGGACTGTGAAGATGGAGTTGCACTCTCCAAGAAGGTTTGATTTTTCTCTGGTTATGCCATGTGGGTTTTGGCCATGAATGTGAAAGGGAAATTTTTGTTTCTGTTGCTTTTTTATTTTAAATGGTAAATAATGTAATTCTTAAACTCTAAACTGTATTTCTTCAGTAATATTTTAAGTAGTTAATAGTTAAATTAATAATCATTATTATTTTATTGGTGATCAGTTTATAAAGGAGTATTAGTAGTAGCTTTTGAAGTAGCTTTCAAGTTATCTTTATCGTTATCACATAAATACACAATCACATTAACATCTCAGAAGTACTGTTCTAAATCTTGTTCCCACACTATTTGATATAAATATGTATTCATATCTCTAACACCTTTCTATAACCCACTCCAGGCTGCTGCCAGATCGACCATCCATCGTGTCTTAGACAAGCAAGAGATCGATTTTATGGGAAAGGACTGCTCTGTGCGATTCAATAGTGCAGACAGTGGACTGTGTGAAATGGACATGGTGGAGGTCCTTTCGGCAGCGCACCTCCCCAATACGGTCCATCTGCCTAAGGTGGAATCACCAGAGCAGCTTGATTGGGTGAGGATGAATTTAGAATGTACTATTTTTTGTGATTTATCCATATATTTGTTATGTCTTACGTTTTTGATATTCTATATTCAGTTGTGCTTTATATTTTTCCTGTTATATTTTTGAGTTATCCGAGTGTTCCTGTTTCTTATTTGTTTTCTGACTTTACCATATTTTCCTGTTTTTTATTGTAGGGAGATGATGTTATTGGGATTTTTTAGAGGGAGATTTTTTTATTAACCCAATGGCTCTAAGTTTATGTACTGTCCTCAATAGTTTTTTTGAATTTTACTCCACATGTGCTCGGCCACCAGGGAGTGTATCAGTAGGCTCAGGTGACCTTGCCTGATTTCCCCATTCCTTGAATATGCAGGAAAATGTGATTTTCATTCTAATACTATTGCTATTAATACTATTATTATTGTTATTGATAGTATGATTATTATTGTTATTAAAATATCAATTACATTGAAGACAATAAACTAATACAAATGAAGCTTTCAAAAAATCAAGGAAAAGGGTAAACAAGTGAGATAGGTAAGACTAATAACTGACTCCTTGATAATTAAACACTTGTAGAGCCACCTATGTGTAAAGACAATAGATGAACTTTTATTACAGTGGGCATGGCATATATTTTTGTTATCTGTGCCAATTGGGTTAAGACCATCCTGTTAGTATTTCTAATATGCTCTGCTTTGCTAGAGCTCCTTAACCCATTGGATCTGGCTGTTGTGGTCATCACGTCATGAAAGATTTGGCTGAGTGCTTGGTGATGGGAATATCCTATTGTGGAAAAGTTAGCTGAGGGCTGGGCAATGGGAATGTACCATCATGTAAAAATTGGCTGAGATCCAGGGGGGGTGTGAATGATTCACCATGATGGCAGAAAACTTTTGGAGGAAGTTTAGACTTAATGGGCATTTAGGAATTGACTCTTGCATTATTTTCACTGGTAAACAGGTGTGGAATATACTATCCATGGGACATGGCTTCAAGAGTACCAGCTCCAGGAAGGGCACTATTTCTATGCTCCAAATCCTATTCCTATCCACTGTGACCAGCTGCATAAGGTGTATCAAAAGAAATTGAATAATGTGAAAATATTTTAGAAATCAAAGAAAGAGCAAAATGTCACTTTTTGTTACTGCTAGTGCACAGAGTTGAAGGCTACTCAGATAAAGGATGTAGAGTTTGTGTAAGGAAAACATTTTGTTACCATCTTGATACAGCATATCAAATGCCAAAAATAGACCTTGGAAAATGGTAAAAAAGCCAAAAATACTCATTTAGTAAAAGAGAATATAACATTGCAAAAGGGAGGCAAGGAGTCTTGACACAACACACAAGTGTTTGTGTGGCAGAAGCCTACAAAGCACACACCAGGGGATCATCGCTTAAGTAAGCCTAGTGCCCAGATTTTAGTCCACATGTGGGCAGCAAGGCACCTGGATCCAGTGGGTTAACCAGAGCTACCTTAACCTGATGTTACCAAATTAATGTAACCTGAGCAAATGGGAATGTATACCATAGTATTGAAAACTCTCTTTCATGTTTATTTGTTTAACCTTGATGAAACTCTATTTTCCTGCTTTATACCTCAGAATAATTGTTTCTTTAGGTAACATGTATATTATTAGCAAATTCATCCATTCTTGAATATTCTTTCTTTTATATATTGGTTCCACTCAGATTTCATTCTAGTGTTTATGTAATAGCTCTCATAAATTGTGCATTTTAAAAAAAATAGAAGAATGTATTTATTTTTATAATTCTCATAACCGTGTTCAAAATGTGTAGAAATAAGAAGGTAGAACAGATAAGGATCATTATCTTTGGCATGTTTACCTGTTGCCATTGGGGATGGCATGTATGTACACGCTGAATCACTAAGGAGTCAATTACTAATCCTTACTAGCTCATCTCTTTTCCCTCTTGATTGATTTTCGAAAATATTCTTTGTTATTTTATATTATTATTAGTATTATTGATAACACTGTAGGAATTAAAATGTTGATGATAATTGTAATAACAGCAGCCATATCAAAAGATTAATTTCTTCTTTTTTTTTTTCTTTTTTCTTTTTTTTTTTCTTTTTTTCTTTCTTTCTTTTTCTTCTTTTTTTATTCTTATTTCTTTTTTTTTTTTCTCTTTTTTTTCTTTTTCTTTTTCTTTCAAAATACTCAAGGAAAGGGACATCAGATGAAGTCATATAGGACTTGATTTCCTTGGTAGCTGAGCACTTGTGGAGTCATCTATGTGCAATTAACCCATTGCCGCCGGGGATGGCATGTACGTACATGCCATGCCCACTGTGAGTCGACTTGTTTGATTGTTTTTACACATAGATGGCTACACTTGTACTAAGTATCCAATGAGCCAATTTCGAGTACTGCCTGTCTCGCCCATTCACCCTTTTCATCGATATACGAAAATATTTAACGTTATCCTAATTTGCTGTTAAAAATAACACCATCTGTATTTATGGCACTAGTAAAAATACGTTTTTTCCAATTCAAGGTAAGGTGATATCAGGATTAGCAGAGCCATCTAAAGACATAGAAATTTCACAAAAATATAAAAAATGAATACTGCATTTCCCCCATTTTTTGTTCATTTTCCCCGGTGGCAATGGGTTAAACTTCACAGAACATTACAACAATAAATATTACATGTCCTTGCTGGCTTTGGGTTAATAGGGCCAGTCCTTTATTCATCTTGTGATGAATTAGTTATGACGTTTTAATAGGTATCTCAAAATTACCACATCTTGGAATTATGGTCCTTTATGACACACATTAATCATCCTCTCTTATCCCCTCTTTTTTCTCTCTTCACACGCATATTAAATAGCACCTTCTCTCTCCTTTCCTCATTTGACCTAACACCTCCTCCGCAGTTTTCTGAAAAGCTGTGTCTGGCCCTCGGCAGTCGGAGGCTTCAAGAAAAACTGCGACTGATAATCTTTACCGAGTCGGCTCAGTCACTCCTAGACCTCCCAGCGATTTGCCGGAGGGGGGTTGAGTTGTCCCGTGATGCCCCCTTCTGCCTAGATGGGGTTGTTTTTGGTTCAGATGACTTCTGTGCCGATATTGGTGAGCATACAGCTTTGGCAGCTGTGAGGATTAGTATTATGGTTTTTGTTATTATTGTTATTGTTATTGTTATTGTTATTGTTATTATGATTATGATTATGATTATGATTATAATTATGATTATGATAATGATAAATATATACATATATACATATATAGACATACACATATATGCATATATATACACATATATACACATATACATATACATATCTACATATACATATACATTTATATATACATATACATATACATTATATAATATATATGCATATATACAATAATACATACACTTATTCACATACATATACAAATACACATTTGTATATATATACATATGCATATGTATAGATAGATATATCGATAGATATGAATATTTATATATTCATATATCTATATTTTTTCCCCAGCCAATATCAAATGTATTTGCTTATCCTCACTATGTTCTATTCACATTCAAATAAGGGTATGAAGCTGATGCTTTCTCGAGCGAACTTGCTGATTAGTTGAATATTTTTTATGATAGTTACATTATAATGGAAACTGAATTTTAAATGTCTTTATTTAGAAGTGTGTGGACTTGATTTTTCAAGGTTTTCTAATTGTTTAATTATAATTGTTCATTAGTTAGTGTTAGTGTTCTGTAAGAGTAATATAATTTTGTAGACATCTTTATTATATTAGACCATCTTCTTTATTGTAACCTGTATTTCCAGGTGCCACAAGGACTAATGAAGCCAAGGAGTTATCGTTTGCAAGACAATATGTTGTTACTGTAGCAAAGGCTTTTAAGCTGCAGGCTATTGATCTTGTGTACATTGATTACAAAGGTTAGTTGAGGCTTTTAAAGTTCAGCCATTTGATTTTGTTGATATTACATGTAAAGGTGAGTACAGCCTGTAATTTGCTTTTAAAGCCACTGATGTTTTTTTGTTCTGTGTATTGATTATGAAAAGGAAGTGGAGGTATTTACACTATACATATTCACTCTTGACTGTAGGTATAATGTAGGTGGATATTTCCTCTTGATCATATACTGTTATATCTATTAGAAAGATAAATAGAGGTAGTCTTGTTTATGCTGAGTATGAGTAAGAGCATTAAGCTCAATTTTCACTGAAGGCAAGTTATGTAGATTGTTTATATTGTTTATATCATCTATAGGAGAAAACTGCAGGCAAGCAGGCTTTTGATTTTGTGTACATTGATTATAAAACTGTATACCAGTTTTAAAACTACAGACTGTTTATCTTGTTCATATTGAGTTCTCAGGCTGTGTATCTTTTAACCCATTCCCGCCAGGCATGCCATGCCATGCCCACTGTGAGATTACTTGTTGGATTTTTTTTACACATAGATGGCTACACTTGTACTAAATCACCAATGAGCCAGTTACGAGTACCGCCTGTCTCGCCTGTTCACCCTTTTCTTTGATTTACGAAATATTTTACGTTATCTTATTTTGCTGTTATTAATGTTAAAAAAACATTATAAAAATTATAATGTTTATAATAAAAATAACACCATCGATATTCATGACACTAGTGAAAAATACGTTTTTCCCGCCATTTCAAATCAGGCGCTAACAGAGCCATCTATGGGCAGACATTTAACAAAAAAGTATAGAAAATAGGCACAGCATTTTCCCCATTTTTTGTTCATTTTCCCCGGTGGCAATGGGTTAATTGTGTATAAGGATTATTATCCCAGTCACTATGGCTTTATGCACTGTCTCATGTAGTCTTTGGGAATTTTGTTAGATGCAGATGGCTCCAGCAAGGATTCTATCAGTAGGCCCTAGTGACTGCTCCTGATATCCTCATTCCTTGAAATTGTGGGAAAGTGTGTTTTTCTTTCTAATACTATTTATATTGATTGATACTTTTATTCTTCTTCTTATTATTAAATTGTTAATAAAATCTTGGTAACATTAAAGACAGTGAAATAATACAGAAGAAACTTTCCAAAATTCAAGGAAAAGGGTAAACAGGTGAGGACTAATAACTGATTCCTAGGTGACTTAGCACTTGTATAGCCATCTATGTGTAAATACAACAATTGAACTTATATTACAGTGTGCTTGGCATGTATTCTTGCCATCTGTGCCAATTGGGTTAAAGTAAGATGAGGATATCTAACTTTAAACTTTTGTTTATTTTGATTCTAAGTGTAAGTAGAAATGTGAAAATTATGATGTTCATACACAAATAGGTGCAAACTAGCATGATACTTGATAAACATTTGGTATACATCTATTTAGCAAGGAAGTGTGATGATATACAGCCAGTTACCTGATAATGCATTTAATGAAAATATCAGAGACAAAGAAATTTAGTAGGGCTTCAACATTTTTAATTCTCCTTGCCACATCTCTTTTTAATGATCAAGTAGTTCTTTGTTTGGGCATGACAAACAGTCATTTTTGGCTGATTGATTATATAGATATTGAGAGAAGACCTTATTTTTGTAAGAATATGACTGATCGTTTATGATAAGCAGGATATGAATGAAAAACGGTATAAAGGGTGGGTATTTTGTAGGAAAATGTATATGTATGTATAGTGTGTTTATATGCATTTTTTCTATCTTCATCCTCTTCTTTTATCCATAGCCATATATTTTATTCTCCTTTATATTGTTTTGTATCTAAAAATCTATCATCTTATTTTATTTGGATAGTATATGTACAGTTTCACTTTTGCTTATATATTGTACACAGATTGACTATTCAACAAGTTTTTAGATTATGTACACTGGTACTTTCTTAACCTTTTATATCACTATACATGGGTAGCTGTGGGCGATGTAAATACAAAAACAGTTATTTATTTTCAGATTTGGCAGGGTTGAAAGTTCAGAGTGAAGAAGGAGCAGGTATGGGTTTTACAGGCAAGCAGGTAAGATTCTTTTGTTTAGATACCACATCTTGTGCTGTGACAGGATTGGGCCAAAGGAAACTGCTTTATTGCCATGATACGCACTGGGTTCCATCAGATGCAAAGGCTTAATACATTCTACTATCCTTTCTTCAGGTAATCCACCCAGGGCAGGTGCCAGTTGTACAGGCTGCATTTTCTCCACCCCCAGAGAAGATTGAGTGGGCCAAGGCTCTCATTCAGGCCTTTGAGGAACACCAGAAGGAAGGAAAGGTGTGTTACAGTTAAAATAATTTTATCATCTGTTTTATAAGTATTTGTTATTTATATCCTTAATTGTATGAACTTCTTTTGTTATGTGTATCATATATATTTAAAGTTTTGTATTTCCCTTTTTTTTCTTTTGATTCTCTCTCTTCCTTTTGATTCAATATTAACATAGGATGATGTGGAGAGGATGATGTACTTATGATAAAGGGTTCTTCCCAAAGCAAGACTTTACTTTTTCTCTTTTCATTGGGAATTAGATTGGATTTGAAGAATGAAAACATCTCAAAAATGTAGCAGAGTAGGACTGTAACTCAGTAGATAAATGTCCTATTTGTAAACTTTACTGGTTACTCTTTAATTTTCAATGCTGACCTAAATTTTAAGCTCTATAGCAAATATATGTTTCACGAAAAACAACCACTGTGTATGACATCAATTGGCCAAGTCAGTCAGCTCTATCCATTACAAGTTTTATTTTTCCATGACTGTTGTGTGGGTGTGGGGGGGTGTGTGTGCGTGTGCGTGTGCGTGTGCGTGTGCGTGTGCGTGTGCGTGTGTGTGTGCGTGTGCGTGTGCGTGTGCGTGTGCATGTGCATATGCATGTGCATATGCATATACTCTTGTGTGTATATGTGTAAGTGCATATATGTGCAAGCATGTATGTGTTTGTGTACATGTATGTGCATATGTGTGCGCTTGTGTGTGTGCATGTGTATGCGTTTGATCTGTTCCCCCTCTAATTTACAGGGGTTCATAATCCTCCCATTCCTTACCCATTTCTACTGCCTATGATTTTTGATAAAGAACAAAACAAAGCAAAACAGAGCAAGAAGTGTCCCTTTACAGCTTTAGATATATGTCTGGTCAGCTGTTTTTGACCATTTAACCATCCGCATTAAAGGGTTTATCAGAATTAACTAATTTAATTCATAAATAATATTAATTGTTGAGAAAGGATCATTTAATAAATGCATATTTTATACATTACCATTTTCAGTGTTTCAAAGTAAGAGATAGTGTAGTCATTTGAGTGTGTTTTCTTCCATAAGCAAACTGAAAAGACTTCATCATCATTACAATCATTACCGATCAATTCTTCTTCCCATTAAAACTAAAATGTTATATTTTATGTATTTCTCTTGAATTATATATAGATTTGCCACTTACATTCCCCTCTCTTTATTCCCTCTTCAGGGAGCCTTCACGTTCAGAGGTAACATGATAGACATGCCACTCCTCCTGCAGGCACGCAACATTGTGCAGTTGGCATCAAGTCTGTAGGGATTAGAAAGACTTACTGAAAATGTGATAGGGATGAATGTTGCATTAGATGTTCATGAATCACTTTTTGAAATATTGTGCATTTTTCTTTACCTCAATTTATATGAAACCAGAGTGCTTAGAATATGAGAAAATAATGCAGATGAAAATGTTGATTAATTATCAGTAAATAGGAATGTGTTGCTAACATAACGGAATTGATATATGTAGGAATCAGAATAACAAAAACAAAAATTTTATGATGACAACAAAGAAATAAGGAGGAGATAGCCAAGAGAAGAACAATAACATTAACTGTCACTTGAAAGGATGAATATGTCTAAAGATAAAAAAACAAACTTCTCCAGTGATTGGTCTTCCTGATTTCAATAAAGTAACTGGAAATCTTGAACTATAGAGTTAAACCCCATAGTGAATATACCCTTTTGGCTATTCAAACAGACCAGACCACTTTAACCTGGTCCTTATAAACCCTCAAACAGCTGACATAGAGTAGCAAGGTGTCTCTTTCTTTGCCATTCTCCACAGGAATATAATGTTATGTCACCTACTGTTAAAGGGTAAAAAAGAAAAGCAGGGTAGTGTCTGGCTTGTCTCATATCCTGATGGATCAACAAATGTTCATTAACCATATCACAATTTCTTTAGTAAAAGGGCATAACATTTCAAATTTAAAGGCATAGAAGAAAAATGAAATACATAAAACAGGTATATGCCTAAATATTTTAATCATCTTAGTTCAAATCATCTGGGTGGGTCAGGTATACAAATTGGGCCGAGGGACTCATTGTATAGATGACAAAATACTAGTTGGATGAGAAATTAACTTTAAAATGGAGAAATAAGCAAGCAACTAAATCATCTGGACGACTTAGGGAAAAAGGTCAATGGAGAAACCAAGGACGATTAGTGGGCAGTAGTAGAATCCTCCTCAGAAATACCATGACAGCCTAAGAAAACACAAGCTTTGGATTGCTGGAAAGATATCACTATATTTTTTTTTCTGATACTCTGGCAAATTATCAGGGCATCAGGAATGTTGGAACCGGAAATGATTATGTGGGCAATAGGTGACTTTTTCTTTAGCTTTTGTTAATTCAAATTTATCCTAAATGTGTAAAGGAAAGCTGCCTTTAACCTTTATAGTATATTTACTTTTGTACTTGTAAATATGAGATTATTTTGTGTTAATAGATGTATATAGATGATATTTTTTATTATTTTCCTTCAGTAAAATGTCTTAACTTTTTTGTTGATAATATTTGTGATAGTGAGAATCTTCATGAGACTGGTAATCCTCATGATAATGATTATAATGAGGATATTCGTGATAATGATAATGATGATGATGGTGGCAATGATGTGATAGTCAAAATGCTCATGATGGTGATAAGCATGATGATAAAGAAGATAATAAATTTAGTAATGTTCATGAAAGTGAAAACCATAATGGTTCAGAAGAGATATTTCTAGTTGGTAGCTGTTCCCAGAATATGGGTCCACTAACTTCCATTTCCATATGCATTTTCATGTATGTCAAAAGAACATATATTGACAAGAACCCCTGTTTCTACATATACTCTTTTTACATGCAGAAAGTTAACCTGTCTTGTCACATCTGATGTGCTTGCTTATTGACTGCAGAGACAATTGCCAGTAAGGATAATCTCAATTTCTGAATGAGTATGCACTTGTTATGATTACATTTGTGTTGGACATTCATTATGTTATAATGTATTTTGCCACTCTTGCAGCAACATGTTGCAAATTGTTTATATCTGTATTTGTGTATTATTGGCTGAATTTCATATCTTCAAGCAATAGCTAAGAATACTGAGAGCAGTGTTTGTTTATTGCTTCTTTCAGCTTGAATTTTATTTTTTTGTGTGCTTATTAAGTCCAGTGTAGATGTCAAGATTATATATATATCAAACTGTGTGTGCTCTTAGATTTATTCTACATAAGTGCTTGATATCCTATAGCAATCTTTGAAATCTGTGATTGTGTCTCTAGATATTTTAGTAATGTTTTGGCAAATGCTTATGAAATACATTATGTTTTATGAAAATTTATTTAGAATGTAGAAATATCTCTTTGATTTCATTAGAATCTGTTAATTCTTTCTTATCAATTCATATGAATTTACTTGAGAAAACATATATTTTGAAAGATTGCAATTTTGTATGGAGTGTCTTCATATAGGCAATATATTACACATGCACTAACAAACTCCTACACACACAAAACCCGTCACACACACACAAAACCCACACCACACACACATACACACATAACCCCACCAAAAATGCATTTATCAAAGCCCCCACCCCACACACACACACACTCACAACCCCTCACCCTACATCACACACAACATACATCTATTGGCATGATAATTATTGGCATTAAAAAAGGAGGAAGGAAGTTTAGTTCAATTTTCTCCTTGTGAAACATGGATATTTTTGGGAAAAGGGTTTTCACACAACTGACATATATGCTACCTTCAATTTCTGCATGCTTTATGGAAGTAAATACCTTCACAAACCTTTAGTCTAGATTACATTAGAAAACTCACCTGGTTCAAAAGTTACAGGTGTTGAAATATTACCCAACTTTGAATGTGATTGGTACCTTTTAATGTGGAGCAGCTCATATCACCTGAAAACACCAATAAAAGGCAACTCTATACAGTGAGGAGTGATAACTTCAAAGCTATTGTTATAAAGGGAAGTGCATGATTTTTTACAATCAGTTAACATCACCTTCTTTGTTTTTTCCTTTTATGTCAATGTATGCTTAAAGTGCATTCCTTCTCTAAAATGTGCAAACTTGACAATATTATTCGATTACATATAGACAAGGAAGAGAAAGAAAAAGAAAAAGAGAAAGAAGAGGTAGAGGAAGAAGAAAGAGAAAAGGAAAATTAAAAAGAAAAGGAAAAGGAAAAGGAATAATAAGAAAAAAAGAAAGAAGAATAAGAATAAAAATAAAATAATAATAATAATGATGATGATAATAATAATAATAATAATAATAATAGTAA